CTACTACTACTACTAGTACCACCGCTCCTCCAACAACCACCACCACGACTACTACGACAACTACCGCAACCACCACTACTACCGCCATAACTACCACTGCTGCTACTACTACCGCTACTGCTACTGCTAGTGCTTCTAGTACTGCTACTACTAGTACGACGACGACGACTCTGTAACTGCTACTGCCGTTGCAACCGCTAGTGCTAGTGCTACTGCTGCTGCGATTTCCACTCTCCTTTTTTGTCGCTGCTACCGTTGTTGTGCTCGTGATGTCTTGTTATGGCCAGGGGCAGCGCTCCCTCTTCCGCGCCCTACGACCCCTGGGCATCTGACTCTGAGGATCGGCTGTGAGGGTCCCGACCAAAGAGCTGACTGAAACATTCGAAACATCAATCGGCATCAATGGGCAGTCACCAGAAGTGGTGTTGCTGGCAGTGGAGTTTGATGATGATAATGATGAAGAAGACGAAGGGCGAAATGCATAATTGCCGGTGATGATAGTACATGATAGTGAAGGCTATCGTAGTGCACAGCAGTGTCAGTAACCATGGTAGCGCAACAGCAAGAGCTTCGGCAAGAGGCAACGGTGACACCACGGCCAACAGCAGTAACCACAACAACAGCACCTGCTACAGCGACAAGTATCCAATCATCTTCATCACCATCACCATCATCATCATCAGTATCATCATCATCATCATCATCATCATCAGTATCAGTATCAGTATCAGTATCAGTATCAGTATCAGTATCAGTATCAGTATCAGTATCATCATCATCATCATCATCGGAATTCGCCGTAGGGTCTCTCCGCCGTTTCTGGCTTTGGCAGCTTATGGGTTTAGGATGGATTGCGTGACAACTTGCAGCCGAAGTGGAAGCCCACAGTCCCGAAGTGCAGATGCCTTCAGAGCTGAATAGCTACAAGCTAAACCTTCAATCCCCAATCCCCTGGGTGCCCGCCGAATTGGATTGACGTGCTTCAGCCGTGTGAGGAGGAGTCGAAGGCCCCGCTGCCTGTGGTGAGGTGCGACCGAGGGGCCACAGTATTTGAGGCTAAGGGCTGTTTGGTTCGGGCCTTGGCAGTGACGTGCTCTGGAACGACCTTGCCCTGAGACCCTGAATCCCAGAGGCTCATAGATGTAGAAGAGATTGCATTTACACACGGCCCGGAGCTCCTGCGTCCCTGCACCGCGCAAGATCGCCTTGCTTCATAAACAGTCCTCCTACCCCACCTTTCTGTTTTTCCGGAGTTGAAGTGCAGGCGACCACCTCAAAACAAAGTGGCTTCGAAGACTCCCGAGAGGCGAGCAGAGTTGCCTTGCAAAGGCAAGGCCCCATGATCGTCGTGTTTCAGCCTTGTGTTTGAGGCCACCCGCAGAGGCCCCGAGCCGACCGAATCCGCTCCTGGCCCGCGGGAAGACGCCGACAAGGCCCGTAGCAAGCTTGTCGTCACTACGGTGGGTGGGAGAGGAGCAAGCAGTAGTATCAGGACTAGGAGGCAGGAGCAGAAGCAGTACGAGTGGGAGCAGGAGTCGTGGTCTTTGTGGTACTACGGCTGGCAGCAGTTGTCGTCGTCGTAATCGAAGTCGTCGTCGTCGTGGTAGTGGTGGTGGTGGTGGTGGTGGTGGTGGTGGGTAGTGACATAAAGTAGTTGAGCAGTTGAGTCGTAGTAGCTGTGGTGGTGGCGGTGGAGGTTAGTAGGAGTTTGAGTTACTGGGCCCTGTGCAGGAAAACGCGGCTCGACAGCCAGGATACCACGGGGAGCACAGCGCACGCCTTCGACTCTGTCACCGGCGGGAATCAAGTTGTGTGGACTCCCAGAGTGCAGGGTGCTCCCTAGTGGCCCTGGTGCTTATTCAGATGTCAATGGCGGCCGGAAACTACGTTCCTCTGAAGGATCTGAGGCCCTAAATACAGGCTTGCTTTCCAAGTGCATTGAGTGCCGGCAGGTGTCTCAGCAGCCTGCGACTCCGACGACGGCCTATGTGATACGCTCAGCAGAGATGCCCGCAATCTGTGCCATGTCACATTGGTCAGAGCTAGTAATTATTCTTGTTGTTTATCACCACCCCCGACGCCATCATGCCAGTTTCACGAATGATAGACTCCTCCACGCATTCTTTGCTGCGGTTGGTTTTTCTTCTGAGTGTTGTCAGCTCATGCTGCTCTGGCCCGAGTCCCCGGACGACGTGCGGGCATCACCGTGGAGCACAGGTGTGGAGCTGGCATTAGGGGGCACGAAGGAGCAATCAGCCTTTGAGCCACGAAACTTACCCTTTCGGGTGCTTCCTAATGATGGTGGGTTTCATAAGTTTCATAGATTGCCTGTGTCTGCTGCAGTGTGGGCCTCAGGCAGTGAAACTCAGTAAACGTGGAAAGGTTCGACAACGACCAATGCAGGTTTCTCGCCTCTTGCGGCCGGTCTTCACTGCAAAACGTCGTCAAGAAATAATTAAACATGTCGGTGCAGTTCAGGGATTCCTAAACCCTAAACCCTATTGATGCATCACCGAACTCTGACTCCTTCAGCCTCTGGGAGGCTCCCGCTCGCCCTCGCGGCCAAACCCGCTGCTGCCGAGCTCCCGCTCGCCCTCCCAGACTCGCCAGGCTCGGCCGTGATACAGTGGCAATCAGCATGACAGCAAATGGACCAGGAGCAGAGACAACACGACGACTTCTAGTTCACCAGCCAGCATCATTCTCATCATCATCATCATCACCACCATCATCATCGTTGTTATTGCTGTTCCATCATGCGGGTTATGCTTTTGCACATCATCTTCGCCCTCATCCTCGCTACCATCCATAACGGGACCAAAGCCAAAGGTCTCGGGACCAGCGGGTTGCAGGGTTTGCCATCTCCAAGTTGATGGCAACATCGACTGAAGGTGTTAGTATTCCCTGGGCCGTCGGCTGGCGTTGACAAGAGTTTGCAAGACGTTCTGCGGAGTTAGAGCGTTGGCAGGCAGTCGAGAGTGGCTCCATGACCCCAAGAGGTGGGCTTGAGCGGATTCGGTGGCATCGGGTTTTTTTTTCGCGTTGAAGCTTCTTGAGGCAGTTGAGCAACAACTGGACAGGAGCCCACAAAGAGCGCTCGGGAAGCCGGAAGAGGACCTGGTGCCTAGTCTCTTCAGGTCTTGGTTTGCTCGTCTCTGAGAATTCCCAGGACCGACGGCGAGCGCAGCCCAAGGACTCCCGAGACGTCACCTCCTCGGCTTTTCCAGGGCGTCCCTGTTTTTTTTTTCCTTCAGAACCCTGCGCTGCAAGGACGGATCCGGCGCTCTATTTGCAATCTCTGTTTCCGGCGGAGTCTCCGAAATCCCCGCCGACTTCACCCCCGAGCCCATCCCTGACAAGAACGGAGCAGCGGCACAAGGCAGTCAAGGGTTCAGGGGAGTCACAGGTTCTATAGCTCCTACTTAAAAGGGGTAGGTACGGAAACCAGGCATCACTCACTCCGAACCTGGTGTGGGGCGAACTGTCGACGTGATGTGCTGCGACGGGGCAGCAGCGATGTGAGCCCCGAAAGTCGAAGCTCGCGGTTTCGTGAGGTATGGTCTTGTCGTTGATGGTGATGATTTATGATGATGTTGATGATGATGATGATGATGTTGATGATGATGCTGATGATCATGATGGTGGTGATGAAGCCCCGCGGCTCACAGCGAGTGCCCTTCTGTGGTGTGGGGCTTCTCTTCTCTTCTCTGGTGTTCCTTTGGTCTCTTTCGTGTTGGGGGTGGCTTCTGGGTGGTTTTTTCGGCGAAAGTAGATGAGCGACGATGGTCATGACCTACACTCCGGTGACAGTGGCGACCTGGAATGGGATAGGACTCCGAGGGATCTTCAATGGCATGGTCCTGCTCCTCCTCATGAATTGCTTCCGAGGGGGCCACCTATGCCCTTACAGGCACAACTGGAGCGGCGGACTCAGAGAGACACCAACCCTGCCGATGGACGCAGCCGGAGCCCAAGCCCGGGTAGAGTCTCTCTGGCCTCTCGGCCTGAAAGAGAGTGGCCCATCAGCAGCGAAGGCGATAGGGTGCAGGGACCACACTTGCCTAACGGCCGGTTCTGTGAAACTTCTTCTTCTGCTTCTACCCCCCGACTGGACTCCGACGACTCCTGTGGTGCAGAGGACAGCGAATCCGAGAGTGCAGCGGCTCCGGCACCAGCTCATGCTGAGCCCAGGCCGGATTCAGACGAGTCTGAAGGCGGATCCTCGACGTGGTCCACCACAACCTTGGTCCTGTGTGGACCTAGCCTGGCGCAGGCCCGCAACCACTTCCTGGGGTTGTTGCGTCTGCAAATGTCCACCACGACCCTGCTCACCAGCAGACAGCAGGGCGGCCGGGTGGGAGCGATGCGCCGACGCCTGCAAACACAAGACTGGCAAGCTGTTTGCGTCGCTGCCGCCCAACATCTGGAGGGCGATTTCCTTGCCAGATGGAGAACCTATGAATGGCGTAGTACCCATGAGCGCCGACCCAGGCGTGCAGCTGATGCAGCGCGCCACGAAGATTGATCGTGCTCCCCGCTGCCATGGTCGGCCACGGAGCTTGTGCAGCAGGCAACATCAGATGCTTGCCTCTGCCCATCCATTTGGCCCCTACCTCGCCCGGCTTCGCCGTAGATACCCTAAGCACGACGCCCTCCCTCCTAAGCCCCGGGCCTGTAGACATAGCCCTCACAAAGACCAACCCAGGAACAGGACGCGGACACGCCGGCCCTGCCCCATGGTTGCCGCCGCTGGTCACTGGCCAGTCAGCAACGCAGGCTCGGCTTCGTTCCGCTCTAACTTCCCTAAGTCCCGGGAACCCTACCTTGAGAAGTATGCCCAACACCCTAGGCCCCGCCACAGCCGAGCCGGTCCCAAGTCCGGCACCTGCCTCCAGTTACTTGCTTGGATACATCTTAGTAAGGAGGTAGGAGGGGTGAGGGTTGCCTCTGCTTCCGCGGCAGAGGTTGGACCTGGCTCTGCGGAGTCAGGGAAGCATCGCGGACTGGTGCCG